TTCACTTGCTCAGCTCAGAACGGACATATATCGCTTGTGCTCCATTTATATTGACCAGGACGAATCATAGGGCCTTGCTCAAGCCCTGCTGGTAGAGGAGGAGGAGAAGGAAAAGAGCTGAGAAGTGCAAGTTCTCAGAGGGCAGAAGAACTGCATATTAGTGAGTATTAATAATATCTACATACAGCCCCCTATCAAAGACAAAGACTTTTCATTTTACCAGCTGTTTTCTAAGCAGTTCTGACAATGTTTTGAGAGCAGTAAAGAAGATATTACTACCTCCATTTTACCAATAAGGAATTTCATTGCTCAGAGAAGTTGATCAACGTGGGCAATGTCACAGAGCTGCCTAATGTCTGAATGGAACGAGATGCCATGTCTCCTGATCTTTACTTTTTAATGATTAAAAGAATTCCAGATTTCATATCAGAGGACCTGCATTTGAATTCTTCATTACATTGGCCAGCAACTAACTTCTTTGAGCCTTCAATTTCTTATCTGGATTAACAGTATCATAGATAGACCTACCTCACAGTTTCCTTGGAAAGATTAAATGAGATAATCAAAGGGAAAGTGCCTATCACAGAGCAATGTAAATGTTAGGTAAACAACACAGTTTGTCCATTTAATCACACCATGGTGTCCTCAAGCTGTTCAAAGACATAAGCTATGTATTCTTACATCCTTAGTAGAGCTGAAGGGCTCTGCACACAGAAATACTCAACTAATGTTATAAATTAACAGAAACAGAGTTAATTTTATTGGAATTCATCTATGTGGAGGCTATGACCTCTTTGAGGGATCAGGCAAGTGTTACATTTTTCCCAGCACCTAGAGAAGTTCCTAGAACAGAGTAGAATCTCAAAGCACAGGGCTGTAAAGATTAAAAATATGTGCATGGCATGTAATCAGTGCTGAATAAGTATTATGCATTGCGGTTACTACTATTTTTATAATAGAGAGAGAGGAAGAGACGGAGAGAAGCTGGACAGAAAAGAGGAGATGGAAAACCATTAAAGAGAGGAAAGGAGTATAGTTATTGATGGGAAGAATTCTTCTGCCATGTTTCTTAGCAAGAGAATGCAAGGTAAGAAAACAAATTCCCAGGAAAGTCAGAATAAGACCTCAGCCCTATGATGAATGGGGCAGGGAAGCGCTAGGATGGGGTCGCAAGGGGTGCAAGGGAAGATGCAAGAAGACAGGATGGGATTGGGCAGGACAAAAGAACAGTGTTGTCTGTGCACCATGAGTAGAGGCTCAAAGCTTGTCCTCTGAGCCAAGGACCAAACTCCAACTCCGTAACTTCGCCCTCATGATCCACTGCCAGTGGGCTGTAGGCTCCTTCAGTCAAGTGACCTTGGCTGGTTATCTCCATGGTAACAGCTCACATCGCAAACTGTTCCTTCCTGTGTGAAAGGAAACGTTTCAGAAACGAGGGAAGGCAGAATTTAACAGTGGTTTTTCTCTCTTATGACCCTTCTCCTTTGGCAAAATTGTATCCTTTTTCTGAACACTGCAGTCTCCTGAGAAAACCATCCACAGAAGAGGATGTCTCGATGACTTTATTTGTAGATGCATGCCCAGGACACATTTTTTAAAGGAGAAGCCTGAATCGGCTTTTCCTTTAGCTTCATGCGCCGCTCAGTGTTTCTCAGGGCATTTCACCATTCCTTTCATGAATAGCTCCCCAAAGAGGAGGGCCAGCATGTTGTCCTCATGTTGAAAGAGAGAGGTTACAGAGGTTGGATAGATTCCCCAGAGACACAGGGCCAGAATTAGGCTGGAAAGTCAGACACAGCAAGGCTGAGCCTCTTCCAGCCTCCCTGCCTCCCTGTGTCCCAGCCGCAGCCTGAACACCATTTGGCCAGCAGGTGACAGGTCTCCCCCCAGCCCTAGACCCAGCCTCTAGCCCCATGACGCATGATACACCCCGTGATTTTCTTCAGCTCGGTGCCCAGACTTTAAGGCAAGGGTATGAAGCAAACGTATGCTCTGTCTAAACCTGGAATTTAAATTATATTTTAAGCTCAATGTTCTGTCTGTTCCACAAAGGCGAGGGTCAGAGCAGCGTTTTGCAGATGATAAATGAGCTTTCTTCAGGGGAGCCCTGCAAGTGTACGTCTGATCACAAAACCCTCCAATGGCAGCTCTGAAAGGCACCATGGGGTCCACTTTCCAACTGGAATCACGAGCCAGAAGCACTCAGTCCTTGGCCTGGCTTCAGCCTTTCCCGGTAGTTTTGATCCCATGATTCTGTCCGTGAAAGAAATCTCGTCCTCTGTAACATCCCTGCCTGACTCTGACGTACAAAGGTGTAATTAGAACAGCATGCAGCAAGCAGGAGGAGACTTACCTCATCCCTAACATTTAAGAGCTTTTAAAATATGTTTCTAATATCTTAGGTGCACTGGGCCAAATTTCCTTCTCAGTTTTTCACATGCATGAGTAAATCCACACAGACGAAACCCCTAGGGCCTTACGTTCTGCTTAGAAGTTCTTTTTTTTTTTTTTTTTAAAGAAAACAAATATTCCATTAAAACGACAAAGTGTACTCTGCATATTTTTAGGACAATTAGAGTTTAGAATTCCCTCTCCTTCCTCCCATGGTAAAAAAAAAATATAATTTTTCTTAACTATTTCCTTACCAAGAATGACATTAAGCTGGGATACATTGAAAGTCTTTCTCATCTTTTAAAACAGTCTTCTCAAACGTGTGTGTCCCTGTACAATTCTGAAATAAAATAAGAATAATGATAATAATAATCTTTTCATCTTAAATGGTCCAAGTACCAACTGGTGGATAGGCATGCTTGATATTGTTTGAGAAGGATCCAGGCTCCCCTATACCATTGCCAGGTAAATCTTTTTGGTAGATAGTTATTTGTGAACCTAATGGAAACATTTACTTGAAACAGAAAAGCCAAGCTCACAGGAAACACAAACGTAAAAGTAAGGAGACTTCCTACCATCTGTTTGATTAAAAAAATAAAATGTGTCACGGGTTTTGGGAATTTTTCCTTAAGCACCTGTGACCACATACGTGAACTCATATAGCAGAGGCAGCAGCAGGCTGGCCACGCCTCAGCCTGTGGGCAAGGGATACGGTGAGACCAAGTGGGAGGGGCCCGGAAACCAGCCTCAGTCACGATGAGACTCGGAGAGGAAGGAGAGTCAACCCCCATCTCGTGCACTTTGTGCTTCATGGTGTTCATAGGTTCGCGTTGCTGTATCTACAGCACGGTGCTGCTGGGGCCAACCTGTGGACACTATTTGCCAAGCCAACATGCAAATCAGACATTTTCTTGCAACCAGATTTGGAACAACATCTTAGCAGCAGTTGCCATGTCATTACATGTTCAAGTCCAAAGTCTCCATGGCCACCAAATTAAAAAAGAGAAGTTGATGTAAGACTGTCCACGGCTTGTGTTCCATTCATTGCGAGGCATATAAAAGGATGAAGAAGCCAAGCCTCGCTATCCCCATGGTCCAGGCCTTCAAGAGAGTCTGCCTTGGAAAGCGAGCAAAATCCAGAGACAGCTTGGAGAAAGTGTCCATAATGTCTTAAAAATGAAGAATTATATTGAAGAATCAGAGAAAGAACTCATGATTTCCCAGGAAAAATGTGTTTATTTATTTAAATTAAAAAATGTTGTGAAAATTACAAACTGTTAAATACGAAAAGACAATTCTATACAACTCAATAGAATAAGAAGGAAGTATATACATCACTTTTTAATAGGCGCAGATAGGCTTGCACCAAACTTCAGAATTAAGCAATGGAAAATGTGACAAGGCACATGTCCGTCGCAGTGAAGTTTCAGAATTCAAGTGATTCCAGGCAAGGGGCCAAACTTAACTTGGCTTCTTTCAACTTAAACAGCCCCTTTTGGAGTAAATCCACACTCTGAATTTTAAAGTGAACGGAGGGCTCTTTTCCCCCAAACATAAATTTCCCCTAGCTCTGTGTCAACGCAGACTGATAAACCAGCTCCTACACTGTTAACCCTTCCATGGGAACAGTAGTTACTGCCGTGTCTCCAATCCATGCAAACAGAGTATGTTTTTCTTTTAAAAAAAAAAAAATTAATAGAATTAAAGTTGACCTTTCATTTCCTCGTCTTCAAGGGCCTAACGGATCTGCTGTAAAGCTATTGACCACAGGAATACATGGGGACATTGGCAAGCATTCCTGAGTGTTTTCTTTGAGACATCTCTTTCCCTCAGCCGGGAGTGTTCACATCCCACCAACCAGAGAATTTTGCAGAAGCAAACAGAGTGTCTGCCTTTTTGGCTCAATCCTGGGAAAGCTACAGCAGGGGTTGGTTGGTGGTCCGCCCTGCGTTCCCCAGTTACGTGTTCTGACTCTCCAGCTGCTCCTTTAAGTCAGCAGATCCTTTTTCAGACTGACTGGCCAAAGGGGGAGTATTTGGTCCAAGCTTCCTCACACCAGCCATGCAGGATTTATCACGGAGTCCTGAAATCTAAAGACATCCTCCCAGCCCCCTGGGGATGGAGATGGTGGGGAGTCTCATGAAGGCAGGGAGCCCCTGATCACATGCCCAGGACCACACAGCAAATCAGTGTCAGGGCTCGGGCTCAGGAAGCACAGAACTTGGACCCCAGCTTTGTGCAATCTCCGCCTGAGTGTGCCCTTCTAGGTCTCAGCTACGTGACGAAATACCACATTATGTCCTCTCCTAGCTCAGCAAACTAGGCTGGGAAAGTCAGCAGCAGTAAAGCTAGCGGCTTGGCCTTGTTCAACCCCACCACTACTTCTGGAAAGATCAGGAAGAGTCGCCAGCACCACCATTATGAGTGCAGGTTAGATTCTGGGGAAACTCTTCCGATCAAAAGAACATCATGCCAGCATGCCATGCTGCACGGTCACAGGTCAGAGAGTTCAAAGTCATAGGTTAGACAAAAGGTCAAAATAGCAGATCATCTCTTATAACCCCAGCCAAAGTTAACAGGTTTAAAAGCTGCTTTTTTTTTTTTCCTACAGTGTGCAAATGGGCTGGTTCAGAACTCCAGCTTTCTCCCATCAAAAATCCTCCATCAAATATCCCCCTCTAATCCAAAAGAAGCTTGTAACCAGCTGTGAAGTAATGCCACAGGTACACAGTAGAGATACTTGCAACCAATCAGATCTGGAAGAACAAAGCTCTAGGCAAATTAGCAAATCAAAACTAGCCCCTCAGCATGCCCTAGGCATTTGGCAGCCCTGGGAACGGGCAGGTGCTGCCAGAGTTACCCAGGGCATCCAGTGAGAACATGACAAGCATATCATCCGGCCAAATTCCTAACAGGAACCCCAACACCCTGGCCCCACAGTCAGTGTACACACTGCTCTCGTCTTCCGGGCTTTTTCAGTGGCGAGTCCAAACCGCTGGCACGTCCTGGCCTCCTCGCTGCAGCTGGCTCGGCTGAGCCTTGTCCCCTCCCCATCCTGACTCAGGGGCTTGCGGAGGGTCTCTTCAAAGTGGCAGCTGCACTGCAAAAGTGAAACCAGACACTTGAAAAATGTCTTTCCTCTCTCTAACGGTGCTGGCTGACGGAGCCGCCTCCGGAGGCCCGGGGGTGCTAGGAATTCTGATGGATGTTCTCCGAGGACCCTTCGCTGCTTTCGTTGAGGGGCGTCTCCGAAGTCTCCTCCAGCTCATCGTCCGCCCCCTCCTCTTGGATGGTGAGGTGCACGTCGGGGGAGGAGGACTCGGAGCTCACGCTGTCCCCTTCCATGGAACAGAGGGTGCAGGACAGCGCCGGCGCCATGCTCTCCTGCAACATGTTGAGCATCATGGGCACCTGCACCGACCGCAGGCCCGACACGATGGGCAGCGGCTTCATGGCCTCCCCCCAGAGCCGCTCCTCGTCTTTGTACAACAGCAGGAGGCTGGACTTCTTCTCCCGCCTCTTGGATTTCATGTAGCCCAGCATGATTCCAATCAAGAAAATGCCGTAGAAGGACATGACAACCAGAACGTAGAAGTATTCGTTGCCGTTGCTGCCGCTGCCGGGCGCGTGGGACTCCAGGGGGCTGCTGGAGGCGGCGGTGCCGGGGTGCGTGCTGTTCAGGGGCTCCATCTTCAGCATCGAAGCGCTGCCCACTGCAGGGTCTGGGGAGAAAGCCGCAGGTTAGAGCTGTCCCACAGGTCCACCATACAGGGAGAGGGGCGAGCACCAGGTTTGTGGGATTGCAATAACAAAAAAGCTTAAAAATGCATGAAAGAAATAGTTTAAGAGGTCTCACCAAACAGCTAAGGACGTGAGCTAGGAGGGCTTGGAGTGCATAGAGTGGGGGGACAGGGGAGGAAAGTAAGAAGGACTTTCATTTTTTAGTGTATACATATCTGTCCTATTTGCATTTCATAAATTGAGCATGCATTACTTTCACAAGTTTTTAAAAATTTCATATAAGACAGGAGAGCATGGAGAAAATAAATAATAAAAATCAGAAGACATAGTTTAGCTGACGGAGCAAAGTTTACATTTTGCTTCTAAAAGAAAACGATTTTTAATTCAAAGCAAAGTTTCCTTGGAACACAGAAAAGAAACAAAAAGGAGAGACAGGAAAACTTCATCTATTAATTGTTAAAAATTTCCCTCTTTTAAATGTTCTTTTTGAAACAAAGTAACTTACCAAAGGCTGATAATTTGTCCCAAGTCCTGAATTCCTAAGTCGTCAAGTCCAAGAGAGTTCTTCCCCTGCGTCCGGCTCTGCACTCTGACAACTCCGCTGCTGCAGCCGGGATATATAGTCTAGAAATGCATCGTCACGTGTTCTGGGAGGAAAATTTACAACAGAGGTCGGTCGTGGCAGAGTGAGCAGTGAACTCAAGCACTGCAGTTCAACTCACTAAACGTTGCAGCTGTGAAAAGAAAAAGACTAGGAAGTGAGAACTGCTCCTCGTGCCCCAGAGCTGAGCCAAAGTTCTCAGGTGCACGAGAAAATGAGCAGAAAGAGGAGAAAGGAATATGCTACTCTGAGACCGTTACCCCAAAGTCCACTCATTGAAAATTAATTCATGTTTCATCCCCCTCTTGGGGAGTAACCATTATGTGGTCAACAGGTTTTCAGAGGCAGTCAAATCCCATAATCTGGAGGAAAGACAGCTGGAAGCAAATACAGGCTTCCCAATCAAGGAACTAGGGCTTAAATTTCAGTTCTCCTGCTAACTATGCAAATGTGATAAATCCTTCCTTAACCTTTCTGCACCTCACATTCCTGATTCATAAAATTGTGGTGCATGGGGGACTTTAGCAGGTGGAATTATGTGAACGATGTGACCTTTTGAGTCCCTTTCTGCTTAACCATTCCAAGGTTTAAGGCTGGCCGGGGCACGTTAGCCCTTTAAAAGCACAGAGAGATTCTAAGGGTCTTTCACCTCAAGGTCACAAACCTATTTTTCACAATAATGATTTGAAAAATCTTCCAGATTCTTGTCAGTGGTCTGCATGAAGTGGAAATATGTTGCAGTGAAAGATACTACAGGCAGGTTTTGCTCCCTCCTGCCACACACAGCTTCTCCTCTGAAGTGCCACCCAGAGACCATTCCCTCTTCTCTTTGCTGTCCCTGGCAGGTCAGGTGAGGGGCAGGGTTCTTCCAGCGAGCCACCGAGCACAGTTCAAGTTTTTAAAACCTGGGTAAACCCTGTGTTAAAACAGCTGCTGTGATCAAAATTGGAAGGGAAATTGGAGACTTTGATGTCTGTCCCTCTGTTCCCTGGGCTGCTTGTTCTGGGAGGCTTTCATTCTGAGTGACAGTAAAGGGGAGGGATTCTCTGCCTCCAGTTGTCTGTGGCCTGTGAATCGTGGCCAGACTGTCTTGTGGGCCAACTCTACAGGAAGCATCCTCGTGGTTCTGCTGTTGTCAAATGGAAGCATGGGCATCCCTCTGACCAGTTTGGAACATACACAGCGCAGGCACTGGAACTTTCACTGCTGCTATAAGAACCCACCTGGATCAGCACCCGACCCTAACTCTAACAGGACATCTGTGGGAAAGGTGGGAAGATGCACACACGCTGCTGTTTTTCTGGCTGGCCTGCTGACCTCACGGTCTGGGCTGCACCATAAATCCCCCACTAGCACTGAGGTATCAAGTGCTGACCATTGCAACGCCAATATCATCCTCATGATGGAATTTTGCTCACACCAATAGAGGCACGCGCAGCGTTGCATCAGTACTTAAAAAGCTCCACAGCTACCTCAGCTACAGTAGATTTGGCCTCTTCAACCTGTATCCATCCAAAGCACTAGAAGACTTCCATCTGCATCCAAGCATACCACGGTGTGTCTGGGACACTAGGATGAGACAGGCCTATGAGAGAGATGCCTGTCGCTTGTTGATTCAGTATTGTTGATGATGTCCCTTGGGATATATGAGATTAGCAACCACCCGGGGATTGTCAAGCACTGCAAACTGTGAGCTTTGAGGAGGTAGAGAGGAGGTGGGGAAAGGCGTTTCCAGACTCAAGGAGCAGGAAGAACAAAGCCTGGTGCCAGGAAGCCAGACAGAGCCTGGAGTTTCAAACAAATCCCCAAATCTGAACCAGAAGTCCCAAGGCAATAAAACCAAGACAAGACACGGGTACAAAGACAGATATCGAATGAAGTCCAAAGGACATAGCAGCAAGTCAGACACGTAGGGAGAACAAAATTCACTGCAAGCAGCAGGGAGGAAACAGCCCAGGTGAAATTCTGCTAGATGCCAGCCCAGAGTCACTGCTGCCTCCGATTCCCACTGACTGCCTGCATGGGTGTATCTACTGGAGTTAAATAAACTGATGCAAGGAAAGCACTTAGCAAGCATCTGGCAGAATGGGCGTGCCCAGCTTATGCTTTTTGTTGTCACTGTTGAGAATGCCCTGTTGCTACCAAGGGCTTCCGGCTGCTTCCTGGTGTGCATGTGTCATCTCCAAACTTTTCATCACTGCCCTTCCCCCTTCTTGTCACCCCCAGGAATGGAATTTAAGATGTGGGGCTTGGAGCTTCATAACACAGAGCTCAATCTCCACGCCCTCATTCGTGACAGTATCTGAGAATGATGGCAGTGAATGATGGCATAAATAATGACAGGGAGGGGAGAGCATCTAGAATGTACACTCTGTTGGGAGAGGATGGGACCACGCAAGAGTTATTATAATAATTATGTCTACTCTCAGCCACAGTTGTAGGAGACAGCAACGTCGATTGGGTACCAGGCACACATCAGTACAGGGAGGTAAGTGCTGTTATAACCAATTCATAGATAAGGAAACTCAAGGTGAACGAGGCTAAGCAAATCACTCAAGGTCATGCCATTAGTATTGGAGTCAGGACTTGACCCCAGGTCTGTGCAACTCCAAAGCCCTTTCTCTTTCCACTACCCTTTGTCTCACTGAATGGATCTGAGAAAGGAACTGAGAAACGGTAGCGGGAAAGATGAGTATTTTGCCAACCTCATTTGCATCTTCCTAAAGCCTTTTAGAAAAAAAAAAAATATATATATATATATGTGAATTTTAAATGGCCAGATACTCAAACATAAATAGAAGCATGCAATTACAAATGACTTTTCTGAATTCATGCTATTTTAAGTATCAGAGGATGCACCAACCTCAGCATGTCCTAGAAGTTGTCAGTGAAGTAGTAATACTCTTACTCTGTATTCATGTTATCCATAGTACAACCGTTTCTCTATGTTCGTATGTACAGCTGCCTTCTGGTCTTGTTTCAATATGTTTTCTTTTTCTTTTTTTTCCCCCCTACTTGATCCTGACACACACTTTCTCCAGAGCTTTGAGTACTTTCATTTCCTGGCAACGTCATTTTTACCAGATGACCCAGGAGTCCCTGGCCACACATCTCTGAAATTATGTTAACAGTTTCTGTGACTAAACAAAGTCTATGCTGGGATAGTAGCACAGCCGCAAATCTCATCAGATTCAACATAAGCCTGGAGTCCAGAGATCTGACCCAGCGCAGCCTCGCCCCTGCTACGTGACTGGCCTGGTTGCATAATTTCTCTGCGTTTCAGTTTTAGCCATCCTCAGGCATGTCAAGGGGAGGATCATTAATTGTCTCAAGATCCCCAGAAATGTCCCATAATCCATCAGGCTGTCCCCCCTCCCAAGCAGACCAGGCTGTGGGTCTGGCAGAGTATTGCAAAATGAACTCCTCAATGCCCACCTCTGGTTTTGCTTTTCCCAGAAGCTCTTTCTGAAAAGTTGTGTCTGGGAACTGGAGTGGTGGTTCATCCCTGCTCATGCTGAGTCACCCTCCCTAGACACACACTTTTTGTCATTCCTAGCACTAGGAATAAAACAGGGCCGAGTATCTGCTAGGTAATTAATAAGGCCCCCAGGCCCTCCCTATAACACCAGCTATATCTCAGGGGGATGTGGCTATGAGCAGATCCTGCTTAGACATCATCCAAAGGAGGTTAAGATGGAAGAACTCAGAACTCCTGAAACTCAAGAGTAAAGTTGGTATTAACTCACCTTTGTTTAAACATTTTTCACCTGATATTTGTTTAACAAATACTGGCGTAGTACCTAAAGTCTCTCGGGAACTTCTCTAAGACCTTTACAAATTTTATGTTATTTAAGTCTCATTTAAAAATTAAAAATGAGATAAGCTCCATATGATACCCATTTTACAGATGAGGAAACCGAAGCACCGACTGGTTGGAGCAGCCCACCCCAGCTCACACAGCTGGTACATGTGGAGCTGGCCTAGAACCCAGAGCTGACAAGAGAAAGGAGAATAAGGAAAGAAAAGAAAGTGAAGGGAAACATTGTCTCTGCCTCTATGGACCTTATAGTTGGTTGGGGAGACAGACAAGAATCCAAAAATTTTATGTGTAAAGTTGCAAGAGTGACTAATGTTACAAAAGAAAGATAAATAGTGCTTGGAAAGTCAATATTAGAGGGATTTAAACTCCTTAGAGAAAATCAGGAAGGGCTCCCTTGAGGAAGCGATCCTTGAGTTGGGACCTTAAGATTGAGTAGGAGTTAGCCAGATGAGGCAAGAAGGTAAGAGTTCAGGCCAGTGGTGATGTGTAGAAACACCCTTTGGAGGAAGAAAGTGGGGAGGGAGGAGGAATGGCGAGAATCAGGAACTACAAAGTCTGTGGACATCTGCCGAGACAGCACGGGGGGTTGGGTAGAAGACAGAGATGGAGAGGCTGACAGGGCCAGATGTTCCCACCTGGGAGGCATGAGGACAGGAGACCAAGGAGGCAGAAGATAGCTCCCTGCCTCGAGGAGCTCGAGTACCAACTACAGAGAACTCCTAAGGCGGGGGGTGAGTGAGCGGGAGTTCAGGACTGACTGAGCGCATCATTGCTGAGGACAGGCAAAGCACAAACTAAGGGTGTGCGAAGTGCCAGACATGCCTGCGGCAGTTGGAGGAGCCACGGAAACCAGAGTGCGCAGCGGATTGACTTAATAAGCAGGTTTGTGACCTAACCCCTGGACCATTGACTTTGCTTCCAAAATTCCTATCAACTGTTCCAGACAATTTAAATAAAGCTCGTGAATGTATCTCAACCACAATTCTCAAGGGCTATCAGTGATGTTTGGAATAATTCCTTGTCAAAACTTGGGCAAGGTGACACAGAACTCCCAGAAGCAATGAGACAAAATAAACATGTCGGCATGTGTAGTTTTAAAAGGTGGATGGCATGTCCAGGTGTCAGGAACTCAGATCAGGTGACTATACAGCACAGAGGTTAAGGGCACGGATTCCACAGTCAGCCTGCCTGGGCCCGTCTTAGTTCTTTCTACTA